TAACTGTCTGCATTTTATTTTTAAGGGATTCTTAAAATGACAAAACGGGGCAAAATGATTATTATTATTTGCAATTAATTTGAGCAAATTGATTAAGCGTTCAGTCTCCCTTTATTGGGTCCACTTTCACCTTGAATTGCTTCCAGTGAAGAAGTGTAAATTGCTCTTAATTAACTCATAAATACTTCCAAGTCTTTAGGTGTTTATTAAGTGGGCCTAGAGAAATAGAGAATCTCTTCTCTATGAGTTTAGTCATTGATTCAGATAAAGTAGGCATCTAGGAACAGGGAGGGTCACAACATCAAGTCGCCCTGATCCTGAATTCCATACAAGTTGCAGAAATGCTGGAATGTCGTCAGTTTGTCTCAACTTGCCTCATTCACTCACCTAAAGTGTATCATACATCTGGCTTTGACAATCCAATCTTGAGAATCAAATGCCATTTTCGTGGCAGTTAAACATGTTTGTTACTCTTCCGAGCACTTTATATGTAGGAACTCATTTCATCCTCACAACATCCCTTGGGTCAGTACTATTATAGCCCATTTTACAGTGGAGGAAGCTGGACCACAGGGCAAGTGTAGCACTGAGATTCCTGCCCAGGTGGTCTGCCATCCCTTAGTCTCCTGCCTGGCAACAGTCCTTGAACTCAGAGCCTCAGAAACGAGATGGAGATAAGCACAGACCAGCAGAGGGTCTACATGACTGTAGATAATGGTACAGAGTCCTGACATCAGTTGAACAATCTGATGAAGTCAGGCTGGGAATAGATACCTAGGAACCTGTAGGAATTGATTTCGACTTCCAGATGGGGAACTGAACCCAGGGTACCTACTTCGTCTTGAATTTGGGAACCTGGGCTCTGAGCACTTGAGGAATTTAGATGCTTTGACCCAGGTACCTGAGTCCTTATAAACAAATCAGAGGAATAGCAGGGGCTGCCTGCAGCCCACTTTCCCATGGAGAGCTGTGGGGACCACAGGTTGTGCTGTGAATTTATTGTGCCTGCTCCCAGGCTGGTTATTCCTCAAATACAAAAAGCACATTGGGGTGGCCCTCTGCTCCATGACACCTTACTGCCTGTCAGCTCATCTGCCCTTGGTTCTGAAGACTGAACATGTCTGAAAAGGTCCTCCAGGGGCAGCCTGGCTGGTCTCTGAAGCTTCCTTCACGTCTGATTCCTTCTCATGCTTTAAGTGGCTTGACCTGCTGAGATGCCATCCCCTCCAAGAACCTTCCCTGTTCCCATTCCGGAAGGTTCCTCCCACCAGCCTCATTCCTAGCACTAGTCTTTTCTTTCCTGGTCTTCCTCTTTGTGATGATGTATTTGTTCCCTTGCTTAGGTGTTTCCTGGCTCCCTGCTGACGCTTTAGCTCTGTGAGGAATATAGGAACATCGTCTTCTTTCTTTTCCTTCCTCCATTCCTTCTTCCGTCCCTCCCTTCTTTCCTTCCATGTGTTCACTGCTCTATCTTTAGACCCCAGTATAGTGCCTGTACATAGTCAGTACTCAATAAATGTCATTTGAGCAAGTGACTGAGTGAAATGAGGGTCCCCTCTCATACCATTCCCTACCTTGAGCTCTGCCTCCCCTATTACCAAACCACTATCTTGTCATGGATGGACCAAGCCTTCCTATTAGTTCATGTTGGCTGCTCTTTTCTCTGGACTGTGTGTCCTGTGTTGGGACCCCCAATGCCCAGTGGCCAGCATAAGCTGACCTGGCTAACTCCACTGGACATCAGGACTAGCTGAGAGTTCCCTTCTTTGGGAGCACCTCTCTCCTGTCCCCATAGCTGGTTAGGTCTTTCCCTCCATGTTTCTCTTAGAACCCCACCTGACTCTCCCCATTGAAGAACTGAATTATCTACAGTCATGCAAGCTACAATTTCTCAACTCAGAAAGAAAAAATAAACATATGGTGGTCTTTTGAAGAGAGGAAAGGAAGAAGCAAGTTGGAAAATGATGAATATGACTTACACATCTCTGCATAAGGGAATATAACACAGATCTTTTCCAGGTAAATCTCTGAAGCTCTCCACCCGGGTGAACACACCCCCCTTATGCTTGTTCTCCCTCATGTCCCTGTTGGGCAGGACGTGGAGAAGGAAGGGTTCCATCCAGCCTCACTTTTGTGAGCCAGGTTCATCACCACCTTCTGTGGTTCCATGGGCTAGAAAACCCTTTTGTGCCTGGATCATTAAACTCACCACCTCCATAACAATAACTCAGAGCCTGTCAAAAGCTAGGAATTAAATTGCACCTTGGTCAACTCAGATCTAAGGTGATCGTGCACAGCCTAGGAACGGCAGTATAAGATTCTGGGCGGCCCATTAAAAATACAGAAATGGTTTGAGAGTCTGTAATAAAGCCACCAGCAATGGATTTCTTTATTCAGATTACAGGCTTTCGAGGTGACACAGAGCCACAATAGCAGGTAGAAAGAGAGGTGCATCTTTCCATTAAAAAGGGCTGGGTTCACACAGGTGACTAGGCTGTGCTGTGACTGCATTTGTCTTTTAGAATCTTTCCTGCACACACACAGGGATGTGAAGTTAGCAACTGTGACATCTCCTGTTTTGGTTCTGTGGGTGCCCCACCTCCTGCTCAGATATCTCCTCTTTCCTTTCTTTGACTTCACTTTCTCCTCCACCCCAGTCTCTGGCTTCTGTCTCATGGCCTCAGTGAATACTTCTCCCCACTTCCTTATCTTTCCTCAGAGGCTCTCCATGATTGCCTGATGTCTCATGCTCTCCCAGCTACGGTATAAACTCTACTCTTTATCTTTAGTTCATAGACAAGGATATCAGAGGAGTGAGTGACTTGGCCAAGGTCACACAAATCAGTGGTGAAGCAGAATGTGAACCTCCTCATGTCAACACCCAAGCCAAGGGTCCTACCACTGTTCAGTGTTCTTTTTCCTTCACACACCCTAAGAGCAGCCCCATATTGGCCATAGAGGCATCTCTATCAGCATGGCCCAGGAGCACAAACACATACCTGCTTAGACATCTTTTCCATTCAACTCCTCCCTTGCCTGCTCCCACTCATCTCCATCCTCCTGGCTAGACAGTTTAGCATCATCCAGATATTGCATCCTGGCTCTTTCTTCCTTCAAACCATTCTTTGTAGTTCTTGTTTTCCTCCATTGCTACTACTGGCTCTACTCGTGAGCTTATCTCTTGACTCATGAGCAGTGGCAGCAGCCACCCAAGTAGGCTACCAAAGTAGGAAAGAGGATGGGCCTTTGGACAGAGAGGCCAGCATTTTTTCTCATTTCTGTCAATGTCAGGTTAGGGCCTAGGAGTGGTAACAAAGTATGCATTGAGATGCACACACTTCAACAACTCCCCTGGAGTAAGTTCTCAAAAAATTGTCTTGGTCATTATTTTAACCATTAGTTCTCATTTTTCTACACTTCAGTCAAGACCCCTGGAGGAATTTCCCCAAAGATTACTTTCATCCTGCCTGTTCCCCTACCCAAGAATCCACAATGGTTCCCTGTTGCCTGTCACATCAATCTAAAATCCCTCTTCCTACCAATCCCCTATTCCTGTGAAAAACTCAGCATCCCCCTCCAGCCTCTCCTTTGGGATGTGTGACAATGGCTAGTGTGGGAAGGGCAGAGTATGAAGGCTAACCCTTCAGAATCGGCAAATTGTTTCTGGGAACTGCAACACTCCTGGCTGAGAGTGAGAAGATACATTGCACCCACATTTATACAACACAACGTCATGAACCCCAAAGGCCTGGGTAGAAGTGGGATGCAAGGTTCAAGGAAGAGGAATGTGAAGCCAGAATTCACAGGGGACATTCTGTTAGCTTCAGTCATGAGAGGAGAACTTGCTGGGAGGGTATTGCATGGGCTTCCATAATCTGCTAGTCTGGGTCACAGGCCCTGCTTGCTGCTGTTGTTATCTTGTTTGTGGGAGGTGAACTTTACCTGTGCTTGCTCTGTCCCAGTGGTGGGGCAATTGAGTATACTGGTCAAGAGGAGGGCTCTGGAGCCATGCTGCTGAGGTCTGAGTCCCACCCAGCTCTGTCATCTACTTGTTGAGTGACCAGTCAAGCAATAGCCTCATTGCCTCTCAGCCTCCTCGCCCATGAGATGCATGCTGTGGACATGAGGAGAGAGACTGAAGCACGAGAGGGTTGAGTTTCTAATTAGCATCCGTGTTGGGTATCACCATAGCATCAGCTAAATGTACACTGTTATTGCGTCTTGTGTTGTCTCATTTGATCCTCATGAAGACCCTAGGAGGTCTATTATCATCCGTTCTTTATGAATAACAAAATCAAAACCAAATGGAGTCTTTAGCAGTACAGCAATTTGCTCAAGGTCATATAGCTAGAGAGAAATACATCCTGTAGACAATTAGACATTTCCCTCAAGAGATGTTCTCTAATCTCATGAGGCTTTCCTCACTCTCTAGAGAGACCCATCCTTCAAGGATCAGCTCAGCCTAGTCTCCTCTGGGAATGATGGGGAGCATGGAGAGGCCAGAGGCATGGTCTCTGGAGCTGGATTACTAGTGCTCAGGTCTTACTCCATCCTATTCCTTATCATTGTGTGACCTTGGGCAAGTCACTCATCTCTTTCTGCCTCAGTTCCCCATCAGTAAAATGGGGACAATAGCACATGATTCAAAGTTACTAAATTATATGAGCCAGCATTTGAAGCACCTGAAAGTAGTACCAAGTGCCCAAGTAGTCTAGTCCAACTTACCTGACCTCTCCCTTCTTCAAAGGCACAGAGCACCCATCACTTTTGCCTGCCTGTGTAGTACTCAACAGTGGTTATGTTCGTGTATACTCATTTTCCCTCCTGACCAGGCACTGGGAAACTCCTGTTCTCACTCATTTTCCTCTCTAGAACCCTGGCCCATTTGACCACACACAGAGAGGCTGACTAGACACCAACTAAATATCTGTGAAGGTCTGTACTCTCATCAGAGGATACCTATTTTTTTCCTTTTTAATTGTTTTGTATTATAAATCTTGGCATCTTCATAAGGACTGTTTTCAAACCTCATAAAATTACCCTAGGCAGGAGATGAATGTCCTGTTCTATTGGGGTCTGGTGTGTGCTACATAGGAAGCAAACACTCACAGTCAAGTTTCGTCTACATTGTGCTCAGACCACAGCAAAGGAGAAATGGTTGGGACTCAATGGAATTGTGACTCAGAATAGCATCTCTCAGGACCTCAAGGACTAGGGGAAAGACTGGGGTTTCATGGCCACAAGGTACAATTTGTCCTGAGCAATTCCCAGGCTTCCTCCTGCTCTCTTTCAAGCAAAATACTTTGACATTGTCTTTCCTGCATAGAATGATGAGTCCCCAGTCATGACAAACAATGTCCACCAGGATTCATAAACACTTTCAGTGCTATAGACCACCCCGTTACCTGAGTCTTCATACCATTTCTGTGTTCCTAAGAAGCATTTTGCAGCATACCTTGGCAACTCGGTTGCTCTAGTTATTTACCAAGACATTTATATCATGAGTTAGTGAGATGCTGTGAAAATGGCAGTGGCTAAGTAAGAAAAAAGCTTGCCTTTGTGGAGTCAATGGGTTTCCATGCTGGCATGTATATTCACCAATACCCAATTTCCTTTGAAAACATTAGTGACATACTGTGCTTTGTTCTGGAATTGTGATCTGTCCTTAACTTGCAGATTCACAGATAGGAAGGGGAATTATGGAGTTCATGTAGTCCAGGTATGGCAAATACATTCCATTCCTGGAAACACCTCTCTGTGATTGAATGACAGTGGGTTCCCAAAGTACCACACTGGGAAAAATACTCAGGTCAAGCCAGAGGTGATTAGCCATATCTGCCAGGAACATGGTGACAGAGTGGGGCATTGCATGGGCCACTTCTGTGCCATCCCAGCCTGTGAAACCCCTCCAGTCTTCAGATAAAGAAGTTATATGTCTCTCTTAAGATCACGGAGACAGTATTGGCAAGAAGGCAGTGCTCACGTTGCCAGTTGTACTATTTCTGCTCCCAGCTGGGGCACCATTCTTCCTCCTCTACTGAGCCAAATTACAAAGAAGTCAGGTTTGGGGGGAGGGTAGAAGTTGGAGAAAGGCAATGAGAATCACGGGCTTCAAAATTTTGTGGAAGACCGGAGCATCAGGTTGGAGAAAAGGCTGGGCACACCATGCTGGGGATACACCATTGTTACTGTCATTTATTTCGCAAGAGTTTTCCTGAATATCTTTTGAAACTTCCTTTAACCAAGAAGCCAGTCTCTGCGCTCTTGATGAAGGAGAAATAGGTATATCCACTGTAGAAAAATGTCTCTGAGTGACACAGTCAGGGAACCTGAAAAGCAGTTGATGACACTCATAAAGTGTAGAAGTGTAGGGATAAATACCCATGTGCAACTGGGAGGGCATGGATGCTGTTGCATGGCAAAGGAGTGGTGCCATATACAATTGCTGCCTTGCAATACAACTCTAGTAGGCCAATGTAGTTTTTTCTGCCAAACATCAATTCCATTTCCTCTGATAATAGCATCTTAATTAAATTTGCATAGCTGTCCTTCTTTATCTCCCAGTCTATGTGTTTAGGTGGGTGGATCTGATTCTACTTTGGCTTCAGGAACAGACATGTCACCCAGATGTGGCCAATCAGAGTGTCACAAATAGACACAGAATTTAGTTTGGGATGGGCACGTGATCTAATGAGATTCATTCTCAAGGTTGTTGGCATCATCAGAAAAAGATTCTCTCAGGGAACTTCAGCCCCTGGGGAATGAAGTGAAGCTGCAAAGACTTCCACATTGGGAGGCAGGGAGGTTGGGATTCTCAGAGTGGAGCCAGCAGAAGGAAGACTAAACCACAAGACTGACAAAAATCAGAGCTGCTGACATCATCTGGTCCCCAATAAAGAGCTATGCCTGACAGCAGAATAATTTATGAACAGCAAGTTCCTTCTGCCCCTCACTCACCTTTTTTTTTAAAGTTGGATTTACAACAATAATAAAAGTATGTGGTCAACACGGTAAAGGCCCATTTTCCATTCAAGACAGACAGATGAGTTGGAACCAACTCATCCCAAACAGCTTAATTACCTGCGAGGAGCCTTGGATGTCTTTACCCCGATAATCACGAGTTCCGCCATGTCTTCCGCGTGGGGAGTCCTGGCATGGACAAATAGAGTCCTGCCCACTGCACTTATGTTTCTCAGAGCGACTAAGCTGCCATCTCTGTTCACCTTGAAGTGTGGGCTTGAGACCTCATAGCGCAGCTTGTTGTTACCCTTACAGTCACTGAAGGTCACTGAGGAAAAGAAAACAAACAGAAGAAAGAGGGTGGGCAGGTTGGACAACTTAGTCCTTGACATATCTCTGTCCTATTCATTGAGGATACCTCACTAATCCCACCCCTGCACTTTCCTTTGTACCCATGTAACTTTGTGCTGGTAGACTTTGCTCAATCAAAACACAACTTTGATCACCTCCCGTGTTCAGGGCAGGTGCTCAGTAGTGAGGATGTCAAAATGAACAGGGTAGATACCACATTGAGGGTGGCAATGGCAGAGTAACATTGGAAGACATTGGTCTAGTTCTGGCATGTATGAATTGCTGGGCAGAACTACAGAGCACTCAAGAGCATTGAGGACAGCTTTTTACAGACAGTACTTGAGTTGGAACTTAAAGATGAATAGTAGAAGGCCTTAAAGGTGATGGAGAGCACTGTGGCTAACTCAAAGGCATGGGGTTAGGTGTAGGGACAAATTAATAACATAGATTAAAGGAAAGAGAAGTAACTAGATGCGCTTGGTCAGAGGCAAATTGGAAATGAGGCAGGGTTGTTGAGAAGCAGAGGACATGTTGGAGACGTCTTTTGGATACAAACATAAAAGTCAGTAAGTCAAAGTATTTCCTGGAAGCCTCTGATTGTCTTTATTGTGAACAGGATCGGGATCTGGTGTATGGTTTGGTTCTAGTGGAGATCAGGGCTTCCCAGGGAATGGGGTACATGAGAATCAAACCGGGTGCTTTTTGAAAACACAGTGGTCTCAATCCAAAGATCGTTATTTAGTAAATTTGGCTTATATGAAGTGGTTTAAAGAAAGGCAGGAAGAGAGGCCAAGAGAAGCAGTTAGCCTGGTGTGTACCAGTAATGCATATCAGAGATGGAGGCAGTGGTGGTGGTGATACGGGGGTGAAGAATGGGACCCAAGTTCCTACAATTGAATGACTTAGTCATGTGAGGGAAGGAATAAGGAAATTCATCCCCCTGGATGAACCACATGGGCAGTGGGTGTTGTGGGGTGCATCTGTAGCTGGCATACAGTTCTGTTATTATGGCTTTCCCACCCTTTGTCTGCATGTGTTTGCGTATTTGCCTTCCGCTCTAGGTTTCAAGACCCCTGTAGGAGAGCATAGACTTGTACTGCTTGCTTTTCCCTGATCTATGGGGGTATGTTCCAAGACCCAGTGGATCCTGGAAACCATACACTAGATTTCTTTTCTGTATATGCACTCCTATGACAAAGCTTAGTTTATAAATTAGGTACAGTAAGAAATTAATAACAACAATAATAAGCTAGAACAATTATAACAATATACTTTAATAAAAGTTATGTGGATCACTCTTCTCTCTCTCTCTCTCTCTCTCTTTTTCTCTCTCTCTCTGCCTTTCTTTCCATTTAATGATTTTTACACCACGGCTGACTAGAAGTAATTAAAACGAAGGAAAGCAAAACCATGGATAAGGGTCCACTACTTGCTCTTAGCTTTCTGCTGAGCAGGCTCGTTTATTTGGTAAGCCTTTAATTGAAGCATGCCATAGATACAGAGAAGTGCACACATCAGAACGTACAACTCAATGAATTTTTACAGTGTTGGCATACCTGTGCAGCCATCACCTGGCTATGGCACAAACTGTCATTGGTTCCTGCTCTTTTTGAGTAAAATCCCCCTCTTCTACCCTTGAATATGAATATCATACATTAGTTTCACCTGCATTTGCACTTTATATAAATGGAACCACACACCATGTTTTCTTTTGTGCTTGGCTTTTTCATTCAGAATTACATTTTGTGAGATTCTTCCATGGGCTGCTAGTCAAGGTGTTTTATCTGAATGATGACATAGTAATCACTGTATCGTATCTGGAACATCATATTCATTTTAATCACTGCATCCTATTCTAGTATGTGACTGTACTAGGTTTATTTCTTCTACTACTAATGTGCACCTCGGCTATTTTCTGTTTAGGAGTCTTAAAATATTGCTACTAGGAACTCTCTCCTGTATGTCTTTTGGTGACAGCTTCTACATAGGTCCTGGTATACTGTTGAAGCCATATAAATATCTTATGAACTGAACCGATCCTTCTATTCTGAGAAGATAATGACTAAGGTAATTATCATATTAGCTGACAGTAATAATAGCTAGTGTAGATGGACCACCTTCCACATATGTGGCTCGGTGCTGTGCATTTTATGAGCACTGTCTTTTTTAATCTTTACAGTAACAAGGAATCTGATCCTCTACCCCTTAGCACTATACGGTCTCAGTAACCACCACCCCAGCAAAGCACACCCCTCCTGGGGTCCTATCACAACTGCTCAGTCCTGCTCACTCAGCCCTACCCAGTCCTGAAGCATATTACACAGAGCCAACTACATGTTACTGTCTCTCTGTTCAGGCTCCAGGACCATCTTTGTGTGGATGCTCAAATGGACATGGTGTTGGCAGTTTTCAGGTGCTCACTTTCTCTGACTGTCTTGGTAGCCAAGATTAATTGTGCATGCCTGGTTTCAGTTTTGGAAGTCAGCTCTGGACACTCCCATTGCAACTATGGGATGGTGTCTTCTTGACTCTTGTAAGACTTCGGCTCCTCACTGCAAAATGGTACATTGTACTCAAAGTCCTCCATGTCTGCCGTCCATCAGTCCCCGCTGGTCTCTGTCTTCACTGCATACATACCACCCTCCCACATGTGCCCTCACAGTCCTACCTTTCTACATGTTTGCTTTGATTGCTGACTCTGGGCAGCTGCAAAGGTACTTCTCACCTTCTTCACCTTGGTAACTCTTAATCATTCCTCAAGAATCAGCTCAAGCAACTTCTCGAGATTCTGTGTTTCCAGAGCTTCCTGCACATAAGACCTTCATATCATACCAGCCTCTCTACTTATCTCTTTTCCACCATAGCCAGAAGCAGAAATTCAGTGTTATCCTTTTATTCATCTCTACACCTCCAGGAATTCACAGTATGCATTTTTATTTCCATACCAGAGGGCACCAATAATGATTGCACTTCATTACTCCCGAGGGGCAAAGTGATTCTTTAGTGGTTGAGGACTGGAAACTTCTCTCCCAAGCGGAGACCAGGAGAGGCTGCAAACAAGACTGGGAAATAACTACAAGGCTTCTAGTAGTTCTGCCAGGTACTGTGCATGGGCAAGCAATGAAGAACTGGACCATAGTCCTCCTTGGGCTCCTGGTCTGTGTCCATCCATTCACAACAGAACTCAGCTTTGACTTAGTGCATTAGTGAAGTTAGGTGGGCCAGTTTATCTTTCTCCATAATCCCATTAAAGCTTTGCATAGGGTGGGAGAGTGGCTCACATGGTAAAGTGCCTGAGTAGCAAACATGAAACTCTGAAGTCAAACCCCGGTACTGCCAAAAAGAAAAAAAAATTGAAAGCTTTGCATAGTCCCAGAGTGTAATTGGGACCAGTGTGTGCATTTTGAATGAAAGGCTGTTTGGACAAATAACCCTTAGGAAACCTACCATTCATTGGGTAGTTCCTGGGGACGCGGTTCTGTGCCAGGGACTGCGCATCCCTCACTTCCTGTTGACCTTATAGCAACTCTATCTACCACAGCAGTTTTCAGCTTTTGCTTTTTCATTACCTACTCCCCAAAGGAGCCTTTTTAGAAATTTTTCCTAATTGCCGCTACTCTTGTGAAATTTTAATATCACAGATATACTTACATCTGTTTATGTGTTGCATGTATATCTTAATTTATTCTTTTTAAGTATATTTGCCCCTCTCCATGAGAACCTGTTTTTCACCCCCTTGCGGGCAATCTAGCACCCCTGAGAGTCACAGCATATACTCTGTAAGTGCCCTTTTCCATTTTGCAGGAGACTGAGCCTTGGACAGACTGACAAACTTGTTCAAAGTCACAGAAAGGGATAGAGCAAGAAAACGTCTCCAATCTGATCTGTCTTCCTTGATAGCCCAGGTTCTGGACACATCCATTCCCTAGGAATAGATGAACAAGAGGAGAAAGGGCATCAGCCATCTCAATTCCCTCAGTGTCTCTCAAATCCTTGGAAGTCACTGGAGGTACCAGGTAAGGGCATCCTGAGATTTCCATTGAGGGTCTGGCACATTCTAGATGTGTAATGCATCCCAGAGCTCTTCCTACTCACCCAAAGGCCCTCTGGTGGCCTCTAGGGGTCTTTGCTTCTTTTCAACACCACTTACCAACTCAGGAGCAAATATTTTAAATGGGATTATTTCTCAAGGCTAATATTTGCTAAAATACCAATGGAGCATTTGAGAGAATAGTAATTCTCTCCTGCCCCCTCTGAAGATTATGACAGAATTGGGCTGGGTTAGGGTTCTGTGCACCAGTACCTCTCAAAAGTCCCTCAGATGAGTTGAATGAACAGAGCCAACAACTAGGGTTGATAATAATTTGTCAAGATGTCAGGTTTCCACACTTCCCAGCCACTACTGTCACAGAGTGGAGTCCAAAGTCCTAAGATGCCAGGAACTGCTGTTCCCATGCCCTAAAAAAGGTAGTTTTCATGTTAGTTTTTAAGTTCTCTAATCCTGACTCAGGTGTTGGAACCCTACGATCTTGGGCAAACCACCCATCTCTTCAGTCCTCAAAGCCTTCTGCTGTGAAGGGTACTAACAGTACATCCCTTAAAGAGGACATCATCTTTGTAGCACACATAAATGAGACAACAGAGGCCTCCATGCACAGAGCTCTTAGGACAGCAGAGCTTGGTGCTCCACAGAGGAGCACTGTCACCACCATTCTCATAATTCTGGGCAAGAGGGAGCCACCTTTCCTTTTTCTGGGCAGCTTCCCTCTTCCAGCTGCTTTTCTCCCTGCTCTGTGTTCTTCTACTTCTTTCTAGTCAGGCACCTTGCTCAGCCCTGCTGCCTGTGCTGTTACCATGGAGATGGTCACTACAGGCAGCTGGGTAAACTAATTCCAATCCAGCGTTACCCACCTGTGAATCCCCTGTTTTTCTTGGTCAAACTCTCAATCTATCCTCATATGAGCAGTTGTAAAAGGG